CCTACTCAATCTTGTTTTTTAAAATTTTTTATGTTCTTAAAGCTAAGATTTGGAGAGAGTAACCTCCATTATTTCCTTTGGAAACACTGGCTTCAGTTTGAATCAGCTCAAACTTTTAAAAATATCATAAGGAGATTATAATAATATATTTGTGTATTGTTTTGTGTAGATGTTCCACATTAGTGAATTGGACCTGATGAATCCAGTGACATACAGAGACCAATCCAATGGATGGAAGTGAGTGACAATGGACGTGTCATTACATGTACATGTACTGTATAGCTTTATCCGTAGTCTCTGAAACAAGAGCTAGTAATAATGACAAAGCACCTTCAAGTGGAGGGACTCATAATGTCTCTCAGACGTCAGTGGATGAAGAGAGGAGAGAGAGGGGGACAGAGGAGCTGACTCTAAGTCACACTGATACTTTTAATGCTGACAGGGTCCCAACATTACCTATTGCAACACTGTTAGATAAAATACCAAGATATAGATCAGACAGCACTGGATCTGATGATACTACAGTAAGAGAACTGAGAATGATAATTCTACTAAGAACCTTTAATTTTATCATATTTTATTTATTTTTCTTTTTTTTCATTTAATTGTCTTTTTGCATGATTTATTATGATTTACTCCCTTTCCCCTTAGTTAATACCAGTATTACTGCCAGTACTATTACCAGTGCTCTTATTGACTATCCAAGTATATACACTCATTGTATAGTGTTTGTTAATTATTATTATTATTAATAGGGACAGAGGAGGGGATTGACTTCCGCACAATGGGCAATCAGAATGCAGCCAGACTACTGGAGGAGGTGAGTATAGCTGTACATGTATATGTACATGTAAATGCACAGATCTTTACATTTGTATGTGATACTGTCATGTGATTGTTATGTGATGTATTGTATTTGTTTAGTACACATGCAACATGAAACTACACAATGTTTCCTAAGACAATCAAGGGATTTCTGTATACTTGTATGTGAGAGATCAGAGGTACATAAATAAAGTATATTGTACCATGAACATAATGTGAATATGTACTCTTACCCCTCTATTCTC